GTCATAGACCCAGACACTGGATCTCATGCCTTTAATCCCAGCACTAGAGCGGTAGACACAGGAAGTGATATGGCTGGACAGAGTGAGGAATATAAGATGGGAGGAGACAGAAGCTCAGATTCCTTTCAGCTGAGGACTGTGTAAAGGTAAGAACTAGTGCCTGGCTGCTCTTTTTCTCTGATCTTTCAGCTTTCACACTAATATCTGACTCTGGGTTTTTATTAACAAGACCCATGCTACAGAATTGCTTCCACAAACTGAAATTTGAACACAGGAAGCTCTGTTATTTCCAACAGAACAAGGGTAAATGTGGACCTTGGTTCTGTCTGGGGACAGAGTCTGGGACTCAGACCGCTGCCTGGTCCTGTTTCATTTCACTCATGCATTGGCCACCAGACCTCTTAGGCCAAACTTCCTCGGAGAAAAGCTGGTAAACAGGAGTCGCTTCTGCTTCCATACCAGGATCAAACACACCCTTCTCTTCCCATTCCTGGTGGAAACTGCATGGAGGGCAGACTTCCCAGGAACCATGACTCCACCTTCACTCAGGAACTAATCAGTCCCTCTAAGGCATCATGAGAAGGTCACCGCAGCAGCCCCGTGTTCTGCAGAGAGAACATGCTGAGATGGACAGCTTTTGTTAGAACCTGGATGAACTGAGACCATCCAGAGCATGGAGGTCAACTTGCTGTTTATCTCCCAGAATTCTCTCCTCCTTGTCTTTACCTGCATAAACGAAGCTCTGTGGTCCTTACTGATTATTTGTAAAGTAATGTGCAATGACAGGACAGTAAGAAAAGAAAATCTGGGAAAAAATAGCATTTTGGCCTCTGATATGTGAACCTTTACACGCCCACAGTTTGTAAAATTAACACCACAGTGACTCCTTCGGAGCAAGCTTTTGATGTCTGGCTTTGCACGCTTCAGCAGAGAAATCCCGCATCTAGACATGAGAACAATTCTGGGTCTGTGTCTGGCTCATTATAAATCTCTCCTTCAGCTCTACAAAGGAAAAAAAGGGGTCCAACTTTTTGAAGCTAAAGAAAATGAAGTAACTGCTAAGTGGAAATCCTTAAGGTGCCCGGAGGACTTGGCTGCCGGCATTTGCCCCTTGCCAGCCAATTGTCAGGAGCGGGCTTTCTGTTCTGACCTAGAGCTAGACCCTGCACGAACTCCTAGAAGGGCATGTCACAGGTGACAAAAGAAGGTCGTACCTGCTGGTCAGTGTGTGTCTGTCATTTGTGTAAACCACCTCTGGCGGAGAAGGTCGGAGAGCGTGCAGCAGCCATGCTACACCATGACTTCTGAGCCTTCGGGGCTTGCTACGTGTTAGGAGAACCTGGAGATCCTGGGTGCATTGATTCTGGGTGCCTTGTTCGAGAGATTGGCACATGCCCAAAGACCATAACAGTCTGCCACGCCTGTGCACCTGGTCCCACAGCTCACACTTGTGCATCTGCTTAGCTAACAGGCCCACTGGCTCCTACAGAGCTGGAACTTGTTTGGGGGCTGGTGTGGAGAGATGGTGACAAAATGGCGCTGACAGAGACCAATCCTAAATTCTCATCACCTGATAAGAAGGGGCAGCTACAGGGCCTTGGCCACCTGCCTCCTGTACGTCCTCCATCTTCTGACCCCAGCCAGTCTGCTTGTGCTGTAACGAAACTTATTTTTGTCTTGTGGAAGGGCAGCCACTTCAAAGTGCCCATGTTTACTGCTGAATGTGAATTGTCATATTTAAAACATTTCATTTGAAAAGGGTGGTGGGTCTCAAATGACTTACACACGAAGATGAGGTTTATGTGGCTTCAGAGCATGACCAGCACCCATTCTCAGACCACAAAAGCAGCTGGAAGCTGCTAAATGCTGAGTGTGTATGTGCCCTGGGTGGGGGGTATCATAGAGCTCATTGGGGCTCACTTAAAAATGTAAAGAAGATAGCTTAATAAGAAGGAACCTGAGTGCTGTGACAGATGCTATTAAGTGTGAAAGCCAGGTTGCACAAGATTCACCTGGCAACAAAGGCCAACGCTGAAGCCTCTAGACGGTGACTGTCCTCTGTGCCCCCATCTGTCAAATGACCTCTGTCTGTGAGCACGTAACTCTCACCACAGCTCCTTACAGGTGTGTTGTGACTGGGATTTGTGTGTTCATCATTCTCCATGTTTACTACACCCAAGAGCATCCACTGAGAGTCAACGAAGACAACAGTCGACAGGATAAAGACACACGCTATTTTTGTCTTTAAAATTGGACTAGATGGTGAGGTGCAGGGGGTGGGGATTTAATTGAGACACATCTAATACTTGGTGTGTCAATCAGCACTCTGTTACTATGGCAATGCTGGGGATGAGTCAACTGAAAAGGAGGAAAAGTAACTCCAGTTCAGTTTGGGAGGTCTCTATAGCTGGCTACACTGTTGCATGGCCTTGTGGGAAAACATCACATCATAGCAGGAATGTGAAGCTGAGAAAGCTGCTCCCTCACAGGGACCCAGAAGCAGATGACAGACCAGAAGAGTCTGGAGTCCCAGCATCTCTTTCAAGGACATGCCCCAGTGACCTAATTCCATCACAAAGCCTTACTTCTTAACGCGTCCTGCATCACAGTAGCACCGAGGATGGGCACCAAGCTTTCAACACCCTGGCCTTTGAGGAGTAGTCCAGATCCAAACCTTAGGAGCTGTTGACCAGTACAGATGCTTAGTGTGGAGCAAACGATCCCAAGGATATAACTTACAGTCTGAGAGAAAGCAACTCTGTCTACGACTCACAGTCATGGTGAGATCCACACATGTGGGCCCTGTGAGGGAGCCTCCACAGTGGAGGCTGTGTGTACCCATATCCTGCCTGGGAACCCTGACTGTCTGAGGAAGAGCAGCCTTCTTGTTTCTTCTGGCAGACACAGGCAAATTAAACAAAGCAGTCATTGCTGTGGTCCCTGGTCAGCTGCTGAACGAGGCTTGCTCGTGCATGGGGGACCCTCCCCCGGGCAGCAGCAGAGGAACAGTGTGGACTGCAACTCCTTTCTAAGCTGGAGTGAAGGCATTTCCCCTGAGCTCTCTCTGTGAAGCAAAACAGACACTTGGCACTTGCAGAAGCAATCTGCGTGATCCCTGTTCAGAAGGCTTTTCTTAATGACTTGCAGTTAAGGGAGATGGGTAGAGAACAGATCAACCCAGTTGGAGTGGCTTGAGATGGTGGAGACAGGAGACTTAGGGAGGAGGTGTGGAAAGCCTGTGAGCAGCCAAGATGTCTTTCACAGCCCCAGCGTGGACACCAATTACCATTTATAAGGCTCCAAGGCTGAGAGCAAGCCTAAGAAATGGGAAAATGTAAAAAGACAACATGAAAGTGCACTGAGGTGGCCAAGGAGCAGCCAAGAGGACCCGCGGGCAGAGGCATCACACCACACCACAGCAGCAGACAACAGCCCCTCACCAGAAGGACGCGCCGTGGGTTTGTTTAGCATGTAATGAAAAACACTCCTCTTGCTGATACCGAGAATCTGAAGTCTTCCCACAGTTGACGTGGAATCAGTTGCTAGAGCCCTCGTGTGTTTTCTTTTTATATGTTTTAAAACGACGGGGCTTTTACAATTTGCTTCAACGTGTAATGGAATCTTTTCAAGAATAAAACAGCATAAGGCTTCTCCAAAACAAAACTAAGCACAAGCACCCTGATGCAACTGAGTGTTTGGGCATCATGGAATTCTGAGTGGGTGTTCCCCTTTCCCAGGAAGTGTCATCAGCTTCCTCTCCTTTCAGATTTACCACCTTAGTCTTAAGACAAAGGAGTCCCAAGCTGGATCAAGGAGATAGATGCCCACCCCCACCCCACCCCCGCCACAGTGTATGTCCACGGAGCCCCTGTACTGGCTGAGCATCATAGCCATGCCAAATGTGTATCTTCATGGTCCCCTGCATTGGTTGAACATCGTGGCCATGAAGCCCTCATACACAAGGCTGTGAAGCCCTACCCAAGCTTAACTCACACCTAACAAGGCACCACTGGGCTGAACTTGGACCCACCTCCATTCCATCTCCCATCTCCAGCCAGCACATTCATTAACAAGGACGCCTTAAAACCAGAGAGGGAATCCACAGTGTAGGATTTGGGAGAACACACTGTGAAGAAACTGAAAAGATGATGAGATATCACAGCACCCTATCAAAAGTGTCTGAAGTCTTGAGTAACTACAGGTGAAATCAAATCAAATCTGAATTATCCACCTACTAAGTGACAGGAACGACAGAGACACAGTCTCAAAATCCCGTGAGCAGGGGCAGGGGGCAGGCTGTAGGAAGTAAGGAAGATACGGAAGTAGCTCCTGTCACTGACTGGAAATAAATTGGTCCTTTGAGAACATCATTTATTCATACAATGTATTTTGATCATACTTCCCCCACCCTGCCAGCTCCTCCACATCTCTCCCCCATACACACATGTTAAGCACCATAATGTGTTAGATATCGTCATGGTACTGGCTGTGGTTATGTTTTTAAAATCACAAAGAATTTGAATTTTCAAGGAGTGCACATAGAAATCCCTGTCTGAGATTTGCATGCAAATGTTGTATTGAAATATCTGTGTCTGAGATTTACATGCAGATGTTACAGCATTAAGTTAATGCCGATGCGAACTGATGACCATTGAAGCTGAGTGGGTGTAAGCACAAAGGTCTTTTATTGGGGGATGTGATTGAAGTTTTCTATTTTTATAACAAAAAAGTTTAGAGGGAGATGAGAGATCTGTTCTAAGGTAGGCTATTTGCTAATATAGGGAAACCAGATCCTCCCCGCCCCTTAAAGTTTGAGAGACATATCCAGCACCAGTGATGCATGGGCACAAATGGCCTCTCCGTGAAAACTGGAAAAGATGACATCTGTCATCTGTCACTGCAAAACCACGGGCCACTTGTCAACACATGCACGCAGATCTATTGACTGGGAGCCGTGACACCATCCCTCCCTCACTATAGGCTTCTGTGTCCCCTACCAGCTGGTCTGTAGGAAACTGGAGTTTGTGCAGCCGGACGTGTGGTGGGGGCACTCAGAGCAGGCCTGTGCGGTGCACACGGAGGGCACACTACCGTGAAGAGCCCATCTCAGGCAGCCTGTGTCCACAGCCTGCACCCTCCAGCCGCCAAGCCTGCAATTCTCAAAGCTGCCCACCTGCTTGGAGCACCGGGCCCTGGACAGAGGTAACCCGCGTGGGACTGAGAAGGGGCGGTGGCTGGATCAAACACTATGGGAGTTTTCCTGCCTTTTCTGTATGTTTTGCTCATCTGCTCTCTTGTTCAGTGCTCACGGACCTGTGGGAAGGGGTGGCGGAAGAGAGCAGTGGCCTGCAAGAGTACCAACCCCTCAGCCAGAGCCCGGCTGCTGCACGACACCGCCTGCACTTCAGAGCCCAAGCCGAGGACCCAGGAAGTGTGCCTGCTCAAGCGCTGCCACAAGCACAAGAAGCTGCAGTGGCTGGTGTCCGCTTGGTCTCAGGTATGGCCATCGGATCCCCTCAGAATGGGATCAGCCTCTTCTCTCCAAGCTGCCTGCTTTGCTTCTGCCTACTCTACATTCAGTGTGTCTTTTCACACTGCCCAAGTTCAGTTTCCTCTGCTTTGAGTCCATTACCTCTGTCAGTCATGGCCTCAGACCACCTGCTTCCCTGGCATCCATGCTGACCTCCCTCCATGCCCAATCGCTCCTCACAATGACACCACTAACGGAAGAACATCAGTAGCCTTTTTCAAGCCTTGTGCAGATCAGGGAGGAGATGTGTGAATTCAGAAAGCACAGAACTCATTTCTGAAGATAGTCTTCATGGGCAGCCAACTCCTGTTTGTAGAAATGTCTTGGGTTGCATGTGCTGCACCACTGTCTGTGTAGCCAATGACAGCATGATGGGAAATGAAGGACATGTCCCCATTCATACTGCTTGGAGATGTCCGGACCCCAAAGGAGGACTAGTCAGGGAGATCTGAGCTTGGAGTATAGAGGTTTCCTGACTAGCTTTGGCCAAGGTGAGGCCAAAGGAGCCTCAGAAACCTTTCCACACCAGCCAAGGGTGTACTGTTCCCCAAGACCAACCCTCTACCTCCCCATGGTATCTGGGAAAGAAAGCCACAAACTGTTCCTGCTCATGCTTCTCAGGGCAGGGCCAAAGGTGCCCGATTTCTCCACACTCCTTGAGCGAAGCCTTGTTTAGGAAGGAAGACGACCCCCAGGGCTTTGCATCTTCCTGAGACACTATTTGTCAATGAAAACTAAATGCAGCATTGTCCACTGCGTACAGGGAGCTCACCACTGCTGGTCAAGTGCACAGGTTCAATGTCACCCAGAGCAAATGGATGAGTGACTCTGGATGGATTTCCATCTTTACTAGAAAAGTCAAATCTACTGGGCAAACCTCTGAGCTGCATGTCTAGACAGCAGGAGGTATAGGTTGCATAGTTTATGGGCTGTCCAGGGAGAAAATTTTTGATGTGGAATTTAAAACACCATACACACACACACACACACACACACACACACAGAGAGAGAGAGAGAGAGAGAGAGAGAGAGAGAGAGAGAGAGAGAGGTATGATATATATATATATTATATATTATATATTTATAATATATATATGTATCTGTGTATGAACATACCCATGCTATATATATGCATATATATGATATATACACACACATATACACACATGCACAGATAATATATATATACACACACAGTAATGCACAAACACATACACATACAGACTTACACACATGCACCATAGCTTATCTCTGTGCCATACTCAATAGGCAGCATAGAATAGTCTTCTAATGGAAACTCTATCTAGGATGTAGGGGACACAGAAGGCACTTGGAAGCCAACAAGTGAGTGTGAGGACCTCTGCTCCCTTAGACCCCCTGCTGGCAGCTTGGCCCAATGGTCCTGGGCTACCCAGCATTGCCTGTCTACCCCAGCAGAAGCCAGCAGCAGCTCTCAGAGCTGGGGTCCCTACTGCAGACACCAGCACCGGCCTGGGGTGTAGAGGATGTTGCTTCCCATGCCGTTTCTGCTTAGCAGATGCTCCAGCCTCTTCTGTCCACTTACCAGGCTGTCCAGGGCCTCTCTGCTCAGGCAGGAAGCAGGCAGAAGGCACCACTCGAGCTTAGCATGCAGCCCAGAGGAAGCAAATGCTCTCACCCCCTGTGCCTGGTTGGTTCCTTTCCAGGAACCACTCAGGTTTCTAGGGGAGGCTTATGAACCCTGGGATACTCTAAGGGCCCATATCGTGGCTGCAGGGGAGGTGTGGGGGTGATACAGAGAGCTGTGACTCACTACATATCTTTGTTCATAACATTTTTCTAATGTTATCAGTGACAGCCCAACATTTAAATTTCTCAGTAAAAGTGTCCTCAGAATCAGCCCCATGAGGTTTCTGTCTGCACCGTCCCTATTTATTGCCCATAATTCCATGCTTCTATGATCTATTGTTTCTGGTTTTGTTCTGAGATGGGGTCTTAAGTTTGCCATCCTCCAGCTTCAGCGCCACACGTGCTGGGAGTTACTGTGCCACAGTACCCAACCTCAAATTCTCCTTACTGACTTCTGTGTTGGATATTACAAATGCATTTGTCAATGCCCAGCCCTAAGCCAAGAAGTGTCTATATCTATATCTACATAAGTTAAAGTTGGTACCATCAGGGCACACTTGGGCCACTGAGTTCTCTCCAAGGCCCTTCTTTGCCCTCTTCCTCACAGTGCTCTGCGACGTGCGAGAGGGGTACACAGCAGAGAGTTCTCAGGTGCGCTGAGAAGTACGTCTCTGGAAAGTACCGGGAGCTGGCCTCCAAGAAGTGCTTGCATCTGCCAAAGCCGGACCTGGAACTGGAACGTGCCTGTGGCCTGTTTCCCTGTCCCAAGCACCCTCCGTACGCTGCTGCAGGTCCCCCAAGAGGCAGCTGGTTTGCCTCACCCTGGTCTCAGGTAAGACATGGATGCTGGTGGCTGGCTTACATTGGGAAGGGGGCAGCTTTCCGTCGGAGTATATTCCCTGAAGCTCACTGAGGCGCCCTGGTCTTCCTCTCTCACATGTGGGTGGCCCCTCAAGGGTGGGTGTGGCATGCTGAAGACGGACTCCACATGTTGCTGAACATTATTGGGCCCTTGTGTATCATTGCAAATGTTTATGCCATCAAGTGTAAGGAAATGTAATACTCTTGGTAAAACCTGGGCAGGGATTCCCCAGAGATGGGTGTGAATGGAAAAACTATGAGATCTATAATAAATCAGCAGTGGTTAGTTTATAGCTAACCAAGTAGCTATGAAAGTGAGATGGGGATTTTCATGTCGTGCCTGGGCCCTTGGAGCAGCAGCCTTGGCTGAGGGTATACAGGGTCCCTCTAGCACAGTGGTTCTTAACCTTCCTAATGCTGTGACTCCCTAATACAGTTCCTCATAGTGTTGTGACCCCCCAACCATAAAATTATTGTCATTACTACTTCATAACTATATTTTTGCTATTGTTGTGAACTGCAATGTAAATGTATGATATGCAAATGGTCTTAGGCACCCTCTGCAAAAGGATGTTTGGACCCTAAAGGGGTCACAACCCACAGGTTGAGAACTACTGCTCTAGGGGCTTTTGGTATCCCCACACTCTTCTCCTTATCCACTGCCTCACCTCTACTGTGATCGTTTTGGCTTGCCTTCCTTCCTTGTCTTGTTTCTGCTTGACTTCCCAGCAGCTTAGTCCTGTGGGCTTCTGTTTCTCAGGCCCTGGTTTCTGGATATCCGTCACTCATCTATGTCCTGCCTCCTTTCTTACTGCTTGGTATTAGTGCTGCCAGATTGGGTGAACTCAGACCCTAGAACTGCTAAGGCCTGCATGCAACTGATACCTCCCGCCACCTGCTCAGCATAGTCCTCTCATGCCTCTCTGTTCTAGTAGCCAGAGAAAGGCACACATCTCAAGACCCCACCCCACAGGCCCGTGCCCCACTTCCTTTAGTTAGGTCCTACCTCTCAAGACTTTCACAGCCTCCAAAAACAGTGCCACCTGCTGAAGACCAAATGTTAAAGCACCTGATCCTATAAGGATGTCTCACAGTCCTGTGAGGATGTTTCACAGTTAAACTTGAACAAGTGGCTGCAGTTAATCAGTACATCTCAATCTGATGATCACCTACCGAGTTCAAAAGGCTGGTATCTATTTTGATGTAGGTAAGTTTATAAGGATTTAAGAGCTAGGCAAACCACTGCTCACTACGAGCAAAGCAGTGTCAGTATTCATACTTTGTGCTGGGAAGGAAATGACTGTAGGAATAGACGCTTAGTCAAAGCCCTAAAACTAGACAGGGCTTGTGGTCATGTGACCCAAGGGACGCATGGAGCTGACCAACCCAGATGGTCCATGTCAGCAGTGACCAACTCTCTCCAGTCTAGGTCTCTTCTCTTGGAACATGTAAAGCTTTAACAATACTTTTCTTGAACCCAAACCTAAAACTTAGCATACCTCTTCAATAGCTTCAGTAGGTCTGAAATGCCTAATCTGTCTAATGAGTCATTTGTATCAACTGACTATAGTTTATATCCACTGAGATTCTCTTGTTGATTTACTATCATAACCTTTATAGAGCAAGCAATAACTCATGGGGTATATTTGCCTTAAGCATCTGTACCCTTGACCCTGCACATAAACTGTGGAAATTTTTTGGGCTGGAAATTTTTCAGGTAGTAATGGATGGTCTGTGCCTGGCTGACCTTCCACTGCAGACAGGCTTATTCTTGTCCCAGTTAAAGGACACTGTGGTGATTTGCTATCTGGGGTCTCTTCAGACTCAAATAGCTTTGTTTATCTTCTCATTTCATGGTGCACCATGGTATAAGGTTGGCCTAAATCATTTCAGTCATGTGTACTGAGGATCTACTGGTTCCCATGCTGTGAGGTCTGGGAACAGCTTCAATGTGATCACCTGTTGGACCCTTCTCACTTCACATGTCAAAGATGAGTGTGTCAAATGTTGGCAAGGCAGGGCCACTTCACTAGGACAGTACAGGTTATTTGGGGAGGACATTGACTGTGAGGGGTCAGCAGCTGTGTCACAGATGACACTGTTGGCTTCCACAGATGACAACTATGACTGAGATGTTATAACAACTGCAGAGAGAGAGAGAGAGAGAGAGAGAGAGAGAGAGAGAAGCATGCACCAAGTACAGACAGATGCAGGAAGATTACAGCTGGATGCTGCCCTGTACACACAATGCAGTCACTCATCTGCTCTCTAAGGGAGTATGCAAAAATAAGAACCATCTTAGAGCAATTGATGGATAATTCACAATCTACACTGTGTGGCTTTGCACAACCCCATCCTTAATTATATCAGAAGTTGTTATGAGTAAGGCCACTGAAGGTTGTACAACCCCATTCTGAAGAACATTGGCCTGTCATCTCCATGGCCATGGGAAATGCTCTGGATTTGGAAAGGAAGATACTACATTAAGTGACAGACTTAATGGTCCCTCTCAACAGAGGTTCTAGAGAAGAGAGGTAGCAGAATGGAACCCTTGGTCCCCAGCACTTGGGTGTGTGTGCTTCTGTATCTATCTATTGTCCTTTGTATTTGAGGGCTGAGCTTTGCACTGTATGAAGCCCATGGTCTCCATCTCTATGGTCCTATGAATTCAATGGAATCCATCAGCTAAACACCAATCCTTCCTGGGGGATTAGCAACTACCAGGTTCCAGAAAGACCAATGTTACAAAGAGGCAGGCTTGCTTTCATTACATCCAAAAGTTCTCAAAGCAGACAATATTATTTGTGTTGCACCTGTTTAGTGTCCTCACTGATGAAGTGAGTAATCCTTCTTGCCACTTCTAGCATCTAGCTTTGCGCCTTTCCTGGAACTCACTTGGTAGCCCAGGCTGGCCTCGAACTCACAGAGATCCGCCTGGCTCTGCCTCCCAAGTGCTGGGATTAAAGGCCTGTGCTACCACCGCCCGGCCCAGGATCACTTCTTATCCAGAAACATTCTGAAGTCTGAGAAGCAGAAAGGGAGACAGTTTTGAGTGAAAAGTGGTCAGCAAATGTCTTCAGTTAGTCTGTCGAGATATGAGTACATATAACCACATCTGCAGTGTTCTCAGACTGGAGAAGTTAATTCCATCCTAGAACCACAAGAGGACCACACTTACTGGACCCTAGAAAGGACCATCTTCCTGGACAAGATGGTGGCTCCTTGTCACATCCAATCTCCAGAACTGGGCAAAATCTTTCAAAGAGTTCTTGGGTAGTGATCTGCTGTATTGAGTTCTCCAAGTGGTTCTAATGTGAGAGCCACAGGTCCAGCATGAAACCACCAGACCAAGAGGTTTGTATAGGTGTCTGCAGCAGGTGGCTGTATGGGATCAGATGAGCTGGTATAGAACAAGGTTACCAAGCAGCAGGCTGTCTACACCACAAGCAGATTGCTCAGCAGAAGTCCTAAGAAACTGCAGGAAGATGGCCAAGCTTTGAGGTTCTAGACTCTCCATTGAGCATTCTTTCCTGAGACACTGCAGGAAGATGGTGAAGCTTTGAGGTTCTAGACTCTCTATTGAGCATTCTTTCCTGAGAAACTGCAGGAAGATGGCCAAGCTTTGAGGTTCT